TCATGGATCACATTGTGGAGCTGTTTCTTTTTTTTTTTTTTTTTTTTTTTTGGACACCAAAGCTTTGGGGGCATGTTTCTGGCTAAATTTGAATGTTGAGCAGCATCCATTGAGATGCACACACACTTGGACACACACAAACACACACACACACACCTTCTGCTGTTCCCAAAGACAGGATTGGTCCGCTCTCCCTGGCTTTTCTTTCTCCGCTTTCCTCTTCCTCTCTCTCTGTTTTTCTCTCATCCTATGGCTTTGTCTCTCCTGTCAGCACAATGCAGCCACATTCCCATGTTTCCAGCTTCAATTCCTGCTTCCCCGGCGCTGCATATGTACACACACCTTCTCCTGCACCCCCATCCCTCCCCGGGGTGCCTAAGAAACTCAGTTGGAGGGGAGCGTCACCCATGCCTCACTCTTCTCCACAACCACACCCCCTTTCCTCTTCCTGACTCCCATCCAATCCCGTCCTCGCTGCTCAAATCATCCAATGTCCATGTCCTCTACACCTGCAGGTTGCCCCCAGCTCTGGGCCAATAGGAATCCCTGGTTCCTACATCACAGCAGGGGGCATAAAGCTGCTCAGCAACAATGAAGGGAAAGAAGAAAGATCGTAGTAAAAATGGTGACCTAGTTTTTCTTCCTTTTTTCTTTCAGCACCCCCACCCTTAGATTCCCTCTGTGATCAGAGAAAATACTCCTGCGTGCCTCTCAGGTCCTCTCCAGGCAGAGCCTCCTGGAGCATAGAAGAAGGTGTGATTCAGAGAGTTTTAATAAGATGGTGCACCCTCTGTCAAACAACTCTATCCAGCTCCAACTTCACTGTCACCTCTTTGTCAGGAAAAGGACCTATTTTGCTCAGAGTGAGCGCTTCTTTTTCCACAGCATATTGAGTAACAGCAGTGCTGCACCAGCATCACACCCAACAATATATACAGAAACACACATTTATTACCAATAACAGATTATTTTAAGCATGTCTGTCATTTGAACCTGGATCAGTAGAGCATAAATGTCAAGAATTCTAGTTTTCTTCTAAAAGCAGATATAGCATGTGCCAGTGATCATTTTATCCATGCAGTTTATTATTTCTGCAAACTCCTGCGACATTTCCTCATCCTCTTCTTCTTGGATATAAATGTGGTAGAGTGCAGACTGGAAATTTGAGTTAAATGTCAATAAATTGTTTTTATGTTGCTGCTAATCTAAAGCATACCGCAACTGTAAGGGTTCGCTTGAGACAGGGTGTCGAGGGTAGCACCTCTAGTGATTATATCCGCCGGGTTACTTCCTGTATCAACATATCTCCAACACTCCACTCCAACTAAGTCTTGGATCTCCGAAACCCTTGTTCCGACGAACACTTTATAGCGGCAGGATTCGGATTGCAGCCAGAGAAATCACAGTCATGGAGTCGGACCACAGGATGGTCTCTTGCAGCGGCAGGGTGAGCTCGTCCTTTATCATCTTAGCGAGTTGTGCGCCGACGAGGGCCGCACAGAGCTCCAGGCGTGGGATGGACTGCTGCTTACGAGGGGCTACCCGAGAGCGGGCTAGGACGAAGGCTATGTGGACGTCACCAGCTGTGTCGATTGCTCTGAGATAGGCCACAGATCCGTAAACAGTCTCGGAGGCGTCACTAAAGACATGCAAGTCTATCTTACTCGTTCTCAGGTCGACGGTCGGAGGGAAGTAGCTGCGTGAAAGAGTATCTTTACCGAGGAGAGAAAGTTCTTCTTCCCACTCGCTCCACTTGGCAGCGAGGTGATCAGGGATAGGGTCATCCCAGCCCAGGTCCTTTGACCACAACTCTCTCACCAGCACCTTGGCTCTAGTCGTATATGGGAGGATATAACCGAGTGGATCGTACTGACTTGCAAGAGTACTATAAATGCTTCTTTTGGTGATGCGCTCCTCCGTAGGTGGGGTGTGACGGTAGTGCAGAGTGTCTGTTTGGAAGTGCCATACGAGACCCAAGGTCATCTCCTGAGCCTCTCCGGGGCTCTGGGCCATCCAAGTCTCGCTGCTCTTCGCTTTGGCTTCGGGGGGAAGCTGACTGAGCACCCCAGGATGGCTACTTGCCCACTGACGCAGGTCGAATCCTCCCTTTGCTAGCAAGGTCCTCAGCTTCATAAGGATGGTTTCGGCCTCATGCTCAGTGGGGACACTCTGTAGACAGTTGTCTACATAAAAACAGCGTTCGATACTGCGGCGGATGTCTTCTCCTGCCTCTGGGTCGTCTGTGACATGCTTCTGCAGTGCGAAGATCGCACAGCAGGGGCTGCAGGTAGTACCGAATGGTAGTACTTCCCATTGGTAGATGGAAGGGTGTTTGTCACTTGGGTCATCCCTCCACAGGAACCTCAGTAGGGGTTTATCCTCTTCCAGAAGGTGGATCTGGTGGAACATTCCCTTAATGTCCCCACTGATTGCCACTCTGTCCTGCCGGAAGCGCACGAGGACTCCTAGGAGTGATGGCCCAAGGGTGGGGCCGGGAAGGAGGTGACGATTTAGACACTGTTTGCCGACCTGGAAACTGCAATTAAAGACTACTCTGTCTTTACCATTGTGTCGGACCTTGTGGTGCGGTACGTACCAACTCTCTCTTGACTTTCCCGCTTCGAAGTTGTCTATCTTCTTTACATGACCGCTTACTATTAATTTGCCAATCTCAGCTCGGTAAACTGCTGCTTGCTGTGGGTCCTTGGCCAGCCGTCTTTCTGTGTTCCTCAGGTAGTTGCTGACTACTTCCTTGGATACGTGCAGAGTCGGCATGTTTTCTCTCCTCAATAGTGGAGTGGCATACCTCTGTACTCCCTTGACGTCTATCCTCTTGGTCTTCTGCTCAAGCAGTTCCACGGCGTACTTATCCTCCTTGGAGCGCACCATCTGTTTCTCATTACGGAAGGGAAGAACGTCCAGTTGCCACAGGCGCTCGACGTGGTTCAGCAGAGTGGCGTCGGCAGAGGTGACTTTGCTGTACAGGCAGTGGGTTGGTGCTATTCTATTGCGGGGAGAGTTGAATGGACCTTGGAGAGTCCAACCCAATCTTGTCCTGACGGCTGCTGGGCACCCTCGGGGTCCAAGATATACTGCACTGACAGGGACGATAAGGTTGGTGTGATCAGAGCCGATCAGGAGGGTTGGGTTGACTTGATCAATTGGTGGTACCGGTAGGCGTCGCAGGTGCTCAAACCTCTCTTTGAGTTGCTCGATAGGATAATCGTACTGAGACAGACCAATCTGCTGGCTGGTGAAGACGTCGGTCACTGCATACTGTTTGTTTGGCTGGTCAGCAGGGGATATGGTGAAAGCGACTCTCTCACCCTTGATGGTCGTTAGATCTCGATGGATAGTGCGGAGGTTCAACTTCTCCTCCCGTCCCTTGATTCCCAGTTCCTCTGCAGCAGATGCAAGTAAGAGTGTTCTCTCAGAGCCGTCATCAAGGACAGCGTGGGTGTCCAGTACTCTATCCTTGTAGTGTAGGAGGACTCTGACTATCTTCAACATCACTCTGGAGCTTCCGCTCTTTGCTGGGTCGATGTAGTGTACCTCGGCCGTTGACTCAGTAGGCGTTTCTCTGCGATTAACAACGTGCAGGATGGTCAGGTGGGTAGCTTGACATTGCTTACACCTCTTCTTAAGGTTGCACTCTGACGCTTTGTGTTGGCGGGCACACCTCCAGCATCGCCGATTGACTTTGATCCACTCTGTGACCTGCTCTTTGTTCATCTTGGTGAAGTCTTCGCAGGCATGTAGCCAGTGCTCTTTATCACAGAAGGGGCAGTGAGGTTTCGCCTTGCTCTTGTTCAGAGTGGAAGGTTCTTTCTTATTGGCTGGCTGGGACGGTTTCGGTTTGAAATCTTCCGTCTGAAGCATCACAGTAGTTGGTTTCCCATGACCTCTGCTCTTCTTTCCTACATCTCCTGGGGTTGGGCCGCCCCGTAGGGAGGGGTCCAACCTGAGGCTCCGAACTTCCATCCGTAAGAAGGTGGAGAGGTCCATCAGGGACAACTCGTGCTGAGGTGCGTGGAGGTAGTTTCGTTGACGCCTAAATCTCTCCTGTCTGAACTTGGGAAGTTTGTCGAGGATGCGCTCTACATTGGAGCTGGCGCGGAGTTCATGATTTCCTTTCTCCTGCTGGAACTGGAGCATGCCTACTAGAGATTGTACTCGTACAGACAGGTCATCAAGGGCCCGGTCATCTTTGACTGGAGGAAGTTTCTCTATGTCCCTCATCTCTTGGAGGACATAGTCCCATGTTCGACCATAGCGGTCATCAAGATCTGCTAATGCATCGGAGTAAGGGGTAGCGGAGTGTGCATGTGCTAATACAATATTATGGGCCCGAGGAACCTTGACATGTTTCAGCAGGAGGGCATATTTATAACGCTCATCTTGGGATGGAGAGAGCAGGGTTCCCAAGCACATGCGTAGCTCTGTATACTGGGACCTGTCCTCTTTAGTGAAATCAGGAAAGGTCGGCTCTTCTACTCCGTAGATGGCTGCTGGTCGAGAGGTGAACTGGATAGGAGAACTATGGTATTGATTAATCAATGGGGAGAACGGCTGACCTTGGTTAGAGGGTCCGTAGTTCTGCAAACTAGGTTGGGGTTGTGAGCTAGCTGCTGGGGGAGGGGTCACTGTGCCGTGTCCATCTAGGGGAGGAGGCGGTTGGCTCAACTGTGCAGGTATGTTGTAAGTAGGTTCTCGGTCTCCTTGGTAGGCAGAGGAGATATGGGGAGCTGGGAACTTTGCGTGATCTCGCATTTCATCGTCTTGTGCTTGTAGCTTGTTGGATAGCTGTATAGCTACCTCTATGGGTTCTGCCTTAGTGCCATATACCGCTTGGCTCAGACGAGCTGGGGAGTGTTGTCTCGACTCTCTGCGTGAGGACTGCCTAGAGGATCGGGCGGAGGGGCGTGCGGATTGACTCTGATAGACTTCGGTAAGTAACTGGATAGTCTGTCTAGCAGCTTCATCGTTCTGTTTAGCTAGCGCTACCAGGGCCTGGGTGTGTGCACTCTCTCTCTCTCAGCTTGTCGGCGTTCCCTCTCAGCTTGCAACTCAGCTTGTTGTCTGGCTAGCACCACCTGTTGCTCTGCTTGTAAGCGTTCTCTCTCCATCTGCATCTTAGCCTGCAGCTGTTCCCTTTGTATAGCCGCTTCCTCTAGACGGCGCGTAGCCTCCTCTGATTTCGCTATCTGCAGTTTAAATAACTCTAATAGTTCTTTGTTGTTAGTTTTTTCTGATGTAGAAGAACGCACTGAGTCAGGGCCTCCTGGCGGCGTAGGTGTTCTGGGTCTGAGGAGCTCATTATCATTCATGTCAAACATGTTCATTGGATCAGCCTTGCATAGCTCATTAGCTCGTAAAGAGGGACTGACACCTATCTTGAGTATATTATCCATGCTACGGTTAATGGGTAGATCAAACATACGGGGCCTGGTCTGAATAAGGCTTCTAGTACTACCTCCATGTGACTGTTCAAAGTTGTGACTAGGGGGCAAATCAACTTCATAAGCATCTAAATATCTGGGACGTTGACGGATACGTCTGGGGCATTCTGGTGGAGTCCTATCTCCTGCTGATAGTCCACTACTAGCCATGGGGGCAATGCTAACTTATCCGGCTCGAAGGACCAAAAATTGTAGCGTAGGACCACAATTTACCTAAGAACTGTAAGATACAGTAGGGCGCTAGCCACCACTCCCTGGCGTCCCTTACTATGGACAAAGATGCTGTGGACTCTTACTAAATAACAGGGGAGGGACAAGGATATAAAGGGAACAACATAAACATTTATTACACCACAAACAAAATTATGCACAATTGAATCACTAAAACTTACACTAAAATATGTCCTGTCTATCTATACTAAGTCCTACTTAATCCTAAACCTAATGGTACCAATGTTGCCCGGGGTTGGAGCTCAGAGGAGGACGTGAGGATTCTGATGCAGCCAGGATGGAGGTCTGTAGCGAGGTCCCGATGTCGAGGGATTATGTGATCAGGCGTCCACGGGAGATAAATGGGCGCTGTTCTCGGGTGAAGAGGGGAGGGGGTGAAGATGTGGTCCAGAGGAGGAGGGGGTGAACTAAAGTCCTTAAACTGGGGCCAGTTAACGTTTGCTGGGATACGAAGGACGATGACGCGGCTAGCGAGACCTAGCTAGCCGCTGTCGGGAAACGAGAGCTAACAATAATCGGCGAACTAACTTCAGTTCAAAGTCCGTTTGTTCCTCTTGAGGTATAATCTTCACTGGTCTAAAGACAACTTGTTGTGCGGGTTATTAATCACCCAAAACTTCACCGAAGTAATGAATGAATCTGTTGGATACACGAAGCTGCTCCGGTCGTCTTCTCTTCTCAAAACTTTCTCCTCTCACTCTCACTCTACAGGCTGACACACACACACTCGCACCAAATCACACGCGCAGTGATACAAACATATCAGCCTAATTACAGCAACACTGAAAGAACGTATATCTCCGCTGTATGAATGACATTGCGCACGTACAACAACAATAACAACTGTACATCACTGCAGTAACAATAATAAACAAGATATCAAATAACAAACCAGAAGTAAAGAAGAAAGAGGACTTAACTGGGCAGGGAGCAGTGGGAAGCCTATGTTAATGCTTAGAAGGGTTCTTAAAGTAAACAATAAAACTCTTCTTCTAGCCACTTCTGAGTCTTCAATACACTACTAGACCAGCTGCGTTCCGCCTTGCGCTGAAAGCTGACCAGGTTTGAATCGGCGAGCTTTCAGCGCACGTTACACGCCGGTGGCGAGCACGAAAATGTCACTGCGCCAGCTGATTCTGTCAACACCTCCCCCTGCCACGCCACCACGCCCAGCTTGGCGGATCTCGGCTCGCCTCCGTGCGACTCAGTCCACGAAAATACCAAACTCGCCTTACACCAGGCTCCGCCAGACGAAAATACAACTGCGCGGGGCTCGCCGCCCTATATCAGAATTAAATGAGAAGTTTCCTCATAATAATCTGATAAACCGCTTTTAGGACTGACTGTAAGGAAAAAAAAACTTTAAAATGAGACAAAAACTTTGTCCAGGCTCTCTCTCTCTCTCTGTGTAATATTTCAAAGAGTGAATTAAAGAAACTTTTGTTTTGTTTTGTTTTTTTGTTTTTGTCAGAGGATTTAATGAAGCTGTTTTCTGTGAATATGTTTTTAAGCCGGATGATTTACCTTGACAGCTGCTCGTAGTCACTTTGAAAAAAGTAAGAATATGCAGGCTGGGAATGTGATCTTTGGATAATTTTGGACCTGATGTGTTGGTGGTAACACAACACTGAGGAAACATGCTAAGTGTTGAATTTGTTCAGTGAGCCGTGTTTTTAAAGTGGTTAAGGTAAAACTACGAAAGTAGGAGAATGTGCTAATTCAAGAGGAGAGATGAGAAAAATGCCTTTTAGGTGGAGGTTTTCACTTATATGCTGCATAAAAGCAGCCTTTCAGTGCTGAATATTTGCACCTTAATATAAAGGCTTTCTGATTTCGTTTATCTAACCGAAATACTTTCATTCACCTGACAGCAGCTGGACGTCAAAGCACTCTTTTGATGACCAGAGAAAACCTAGAATTAAAGGAGTCAAGGCCCCATCCTCTGTCCTCAAAGGATTTCAGGGGAATTCATGCAAACATTAAATACTGTTTAATGTTTTATCCTTTAATATTCAATTCTTTTATTCCTTTTTACATGATTGCTACATGGGTTATGAAATTTCACCTCAGGTTTTATAAAAAGACAGCAAAAGAGAGGGCAAGGCCGGGGAGAGTCGTGTTCGCAGGTGAATGGACTCTCTGTGTGTCTCACTAAACAGCTTTAATACCTGATTCAATAGAAAATCAAACTCAAAGATACAGCCACTGAACCCAGCCTTAAGTCAACTGTAGTAGGTTTTATTTATTTCATGGCTTCACAGCTTGATCATCTTCATTTGTTCATGATAATGAATGACTTATTCTGGTCAAGTGGGGGAACTTTGGATCTCTGCAATATTTTACATCCTTTACATTCAAAGACTTATGAAAGAAACATAATATTAGCTATCTAATAATATCTCTAACCACCCTAATTTCAACAGCCAGATGCAGACTCACAGGTGGGCAAAATCAAAGTCCATTTATTCCAAAAAAGAAGTCAGTACACAGGGTCCAAAAAAGCAAGGCAGAGGTAGCAGACAGTATCCAAATTGATAGGCAAGAGGCTAAGGCCCAAACTACACGTATATGGATATTTATTTATCAGGATATTTTTGTACTCCCGTCTAAATAAATCCACACGTGTTAGTTCTCAAAAATATCTGCGTCCACACGTAGCCTTCAAACTCAATCCTATCTGGTGCCGCTTAAAAAAAATTCAGGGTCAAAGCTAACTGATTGGCCGATGAATCGTAACAGCGTGATGCGTCATGCATTGTTTGCGGAAGCTACGCTAGTGCGTCGGGTCCATGTGACGGACCATGTGACCAATAAAAGTATTGGCCGCAGCAGACGCGTCTGTGAGCTGGCTGACTGGTGGATGTAATTGTATAAAACAAGGTTCACTTGCAAGGCTGAAATTAGCCCCAAAAGGGCAAAACAAACATAAAGAATACCCTGTCTGTCCGCCATCGTTGTTGTTGTTGTTGTTTTTCTTTTTAATTCGCATGCGCGAGCTGCGGTTTGACATCATCGATCCGTAAAAGTCCAACCACACGAATCCACTACAGATACGGGATACGGATATTTTTTTATTTCTCCACTTGTTTTTCCGGATTCAGATTTATCCGGTTTGAGTGCTCCAAACTCCCGTTTTGGTGTGGTAGGGAGGCCTAATCGGACATAAATATGTGCGGTTTGAAATATATCCGCATTCGTGTAGTTGGGGCCTAAGTCAAACAATACTGAAAAGAAGTCAAAACACTGAGACATACACTAGAAATGTATACTGGAACTCTGACACTAAGGACAAGATGAACTGGCACAGAGTGGAGGGAAAGCTGGGTTGAAATACACCAGAGCAGTTAACGAGACAAAGGTGAGCAGAGCAGTGGAGTTAACGACACACAGGTGAGACACATCAGGGTAATCAGGGGAGCAGATTACACAAGGAGGAGGAAGTCAGTGGACCTAAAACTAGAGACAAGGGCTGTGTACGAAATGAATCACTCAATCCCTAACCCCTAACCCCCATATGGGGCTTCACTGTATAGCTGACTATGTAGTGAGCTCAATCACCAGAGGTTTCAAACACGAGATGGCATAACACAGTGCATGATGGGATGACCATTGGATGGTCATTACATTTTGCAATGCTCTATGGGAAATTTTGAGTCGCCTGTATGGGGCATTGGAATTCATCACTCAGGTTTCAGACACCCCTCAAAATGGCACTAAACCTATATAGCCGCCTATATAGGGGTTAGGGATCAATTTCGGAAACAGCCGAGGGTATCAGAAATTAAAAAAAAGAACGGGATGAAAAAAATAAAAAAACACAACCATTTAGGTGATGTGATACCTACAGAGCACCACTGTGTCTGCAGACAGGTTCTCTTGTACATCATGTTCATAATATCAGTTCCAAAAATAATACAGTTCCAACTTACTGTAAAATCCACTTACCCTGTGAGACTGGCCGCTTTGTGTTTCTGTAGTCTCCCTCATTGAAGGCCCATGATTACACCCCCCCGGACACTTTTTTCAAGGTTGCTCTTAACATTTTTTCTTACTGTGAAATTGTAATCAAGTTTCCTTTTTAAGTGTTGGTTACTCACTACTACTATTACAATCTGTGGGTTGTGTGGAGTCTGTGATTTTATGTTTGTAAATTTGTTATCAAAATTTCTGCTTGTGATCTTACTGTGCAGAACTCTAAAGTGGTGTGTTATAGTGCTGTGCTCTATAGAAAATACGTTGGGGCAAATCAGCATTTTGGAGATAGGAGTATGGAAAGCAAAAAGTTCGAAAAACACTTCCCAGGTCACAATCGGGGGTGAACCAGCAATCGTAGCTACGAGGACCACTGCATCTCAGATGATTTATGTGTGAAGTTGTAGTAAATTAGCACCATTTTAGCTTATAAGTGACTGTACTGGATAAAGCTGATGTTTTGTTTTGGGATGTTGACCAATCAGAGACTGTATCTGTGATCAGCTGACTTTTAAAGGTCCAGTAAGATGTGAGGGCAGTCTGAGACAGAGGACACAGTGGTGGTGATGTCCTCACTTGATGCTCGACATTCAAACTACGGCACACAAAGTTCCTCTTTTAAAGGGTTATATTTCCTTTTAAGATCAGCTCATTGTTTCTATATCCACTTTACTCTTTTGCGGGTCACGAATCTGTGGATGTTAGATTGATGGCTTAAAGTGTCACTGGTTTCTACCTTGCATTGAGGTCTACTCTTTTTTTAAATTAAAAACAAACTGAGGCTCAAACTTTGATAAACAAAGTTTATTCTATTTTAATTATTTATTAATTTTGTTTGCTTGTTTTCTTCTGTTAACCTTCTGCCCTTACTTGGAGGTGGTATCTGTGATAAAACAGCTCTGAGAAAAATAGATTTTGGAACAAGTGGAAGTTGGAAGTTTATGAAA